GTATAAGGTTATTTTTCAACCTACTCTAATACAAATTCTTCCATGTGATCATGACGATTTTTTGTATTAATTTTTTGTAAATTATCTGGCCCTTTCTACTGATGATTTTATGAGCTCTGATACTTGGGCTTTTATTATGATTCATATAAAATAGTTACGACAAAATTAATTCCGAAAGAAACGGTGTGTCTCTGGATAGATTCCACTTTTTATGTAAAATAAATGATTATTGGAAGTGGTTCTTTAACTAATAATGACGCATATATAAATATTATATGGACTTTACGATATATCACTCGCTAATGATTTAAGACTCATTATAGAAAATATATATAGGTAATTATCTTGAATTCTTTTCCGCTGAGTATTTTTTTTTATCGAAACTAGTGTTGTATATTAATTTTAATAACTTTAATATGGTTTGTATAAATATCACTGAATGAAATACAATTATCTTTAAAGAAATAGACCAAGAAATCCTTTATCCAATTTACTTCTAAATCAATTCTTTGAGAATATTTAATCAATTTAAATGCCTTCCACAAGCCGTAATTTGAAAAACTGTTTTTGCACTTTAATTTATTAATTTTCCAGCTAATTGAATAAACACTTCTAAAATGAAACTACTTTATTTAAGTGGACTAAAAATATGGCACAATTATAATATACGACTTAGAACAATTAAGTAAAGTGGAATATTAATTTAATGTAATTGAATTTTCGTCCTGGTTATATGAAGTGTTAATATAATTATTCACATATTAACTAATCGTTTATAGAAATGAAATGCTATATTTTGTTATTGTAACATTTTACATATATATTACATATGAAGAAAAATGTAAGTAAAACTAATTATCATATTTTGTGAAGACAATTCTGTGTTTTAATTAGTTACACAAACATATTTTCGAACTAAAAGCTTTTTTATACAAACAATTATTTAAATTTTATTTTTATAGGTTTTCTACTTTCTTTATTGTATTGCCCCCTAATTCCTTAATCATTTTATTAATTTTTATGCACTTTTTAATTATTTGAAAATTTTTTTTTAAACTGAAATTTAAAGCTAGATGTCGATCAACGTTTCCTCACATCTGAAATCTAGATGTCGATCAACGCACCTCGGACAGTAATAAGTAATAGCTGTTTTCAAAATTAAATTGATATAGACAATGCACTAGTTTACAAAGCCAAAATTTATTTACGCAATTTTTTTTCCAAAGAGAAACTAGCTCTTTCTCGGCGTTAAAGAAATTTGTATATACCATGTATTTGGACAACCATTGGGTTACCATCTAAAAATCTACATTTGTTGAAGAATTTTTATGAGAGTAACTTATTTGAGAAATTGGATAAAGTATTTCGAATATTGCGATATAGGTCAACCATTGGGTTGCCTTCTAAAAATATACATTTTTTGAAGAAGTTTCATCAGAGTAACTCATGGAACTTTAAGATTTGATTGCTATTCAAAATAGTAAAATACTAGGTGTAAGTGGTATTTTGCCTTAAGGCAAGTTGCGAAGAAGAAGAACCTACATATCAGTAAGAATTTTTTTGTTAAAACTTTTTCAAATTGTCACTACAAATTTTGAAATTTTAGCAAATTATTCCAAATTTTGATGTATTTTTGTGATTGAATCACTTTCTTTAGGCCTATAATCTTTTAGGATGTTTATGCTTATACTATTAACTCTATCATCATGCAAAGCTTTATCAAAATCGTTAAAAAAAAATTAAATAGTAACTAACCAAAAATTTTCAGTACAATTTTGAAATTTGTTTCAATTTTTGAAATTTCAAAATCGGTCCAGAATTTTTTGCAAGTATGTGGGCAAATAAATTTCGCTTTTTGTTGCTGATTTTAAAGAATCGTAGCGCAAATAATCGCCATAGCACTTATCTAATTTCATCAAATCATAGAAATCGGTTCAGTCGTTTTTTGACTGACGTACATTTACCTATTTTGGTGTCAAAAAATCAGAATGACTTGAAACGTCGAGAAAACATAAAATTAGGAAAACTAATTGCCTTAGCCCTTATCTAATTTCATCAAATCATAGAAATCGCTTCAGTTCTTTAGCTCACATTTACCTTTGTTAGTGTCAAACGATTCAGAATGACTTGGAACGTCGAGAAAACATAAATTTAGCAAAAATGATTTTCTAATGAAAACAAACTTCTCTTTTGGGAAGAAAAAGGAAAATTTACTAAAAATTCTGCAGTCTCATCGTTTTGAATATTAATAGGACATCCAAAAATAGTGATTGATCTTATATATAATATAACATTGATCTGATAATATTATAATTCTTATAATATAACATTGATCTGATAATATTTTTGTATTTATCTATATATATATATAAAAAGATCTAATCACAAAAATATTTATGATATTTTCTTTTATTTTAGATGCATCGTTCGAAATTTCTCGGCTCGTCATCATCGATCACCATCACCATTTCACTGAAATCACTACCGATATAGCATCAACTTCTCTATTTGATCAACGATTATCATTAATTATTACTTTTCTAATTATATTTAATTTAAATATAACAACTCATTACCCACCGAATTAGAAGAAACCATACATCGCGTTTTTAACACACAAATACATATCTATCTCTCAAGTACTAACCGATCGACTGACTGATTAGTATAATCAAGAAAGAAAAATAAATAGCTTTAAAACCATAATTAATGAAGAGAAAACGAAAAATTAGAAACTCGACATTTATGCACCATTAATGCTTTAATTTCTGCCGGAGGAATTTCAAGAAATTATTTTTTATCTATTTGTTCGTTTGATTCGAATTAAAATCGCGCCAAAGCAAAATGATGACTGAAATTAAAACACGTCCCAATCTGCCTAATTTGGTGGCTGATGTGCCCAATTTGGCGAATGGAATCATTGCTGATCCTAATACTAAGACGACCTACAGGATTGGGAAGTTTTTAGGAAAGGTAAGAAAATATATATGATAAATAATTACAATTTAAATGAAGATAAAGTTTTGAGTAAAATGCTATTGAATTCGGAAATTTTCTATTCAATTTTCTAATTTTTATCAAATTGATGTTAGAAGACTTATATTGTCACTAGAATTCTCTCCAAAAGAACCGTTTGATTTTTAAATAAATAAAGTGTTGTGTAGGGTAAAAAAAATCGAAAATGAAAATCTTTACGTTTCAGAGGTTTCTGAACATTTTGACATACCTTAGGAGAAATGGATGTATGTGTGTTTGTATGTGTGTGTGTGTGCGGATACAAATTTTCATCGACGATTTCGGGAGTTCAACCGATTTCAATTATTCAAAAAATATTCGAATCCTATTGATAAGATGACGTGCTGATTAGTTTTTGGCAAAGGCAGGTCCAGCCGATACGGAGATAAAGAGCAAAGAGTGCAGAAAATATAAATCGAGTTTTTGGGAGAACGGAGCATCCGATTTGAATAATCTAAACATGACAAAAATTCGTGTGTATTAATTTTTTTATTAATTATTTTTTACTTTCAGGGTGGATTTGCTAGAGTGCACGAAGTGACAAACTTACATAATAACGTAACATATGCTGCCAAAATCATTCCTAAATCTAAGATGACTAGAAAATATCATATAGCTAAGGTAATAAAACTATGAATAGAATTAATAAAATTAAATGGTGGGTATTATGAAAATAAAATTTAATTTTATCTTATTTTTAGGTTGCCAGAGAAATCATGCTTCACAAGGATCTCATTCATGACAATGTCGTGAAATTAGAATTATTTTTCGAAGACGTAATAAACGCTTATATAATATTAGAAAACTGTCCGAATCAGGTAAAATAAATATTATATATTTATTTTATTCTAAATAAATTATTTTGCAATATAAATATAAATATAAGTATCAATTTGGCAAAATTAATATTGACCTCTCTTTGACAAACAAAATTTTATGTATATTGTTGATTTATTGAATTCGATATTTCATTCTTTAGCAATAAATAGAAAATTTGGGACATTTTTTTGGGAAATATGGGACATTTTCATTTTGGGAAAATATGGAACATTTTTCATTAGGAACACTTTTATACACTCCGATATAAAAGTTTTGAATAAAACGACTATGAATTCGATATTTCATTCTTTAGCAATAAATAGAAAATTCGGGACATTTTTTTGGTTTTTGTCAAATTATTGAAAAATTTCATATGAAACCACCTTTATTCAGATAGGGTGAAACTAGATAAAATTTACATTTCCTTGGGAACACTTTTATACACTCCTATATAAAAGTTTCGAATATTACTACTTTGAATTCGATATTTCATTCTTTAGCAATAAATAGAAAATTCTGGACATTTTTTTGGTTTTTGTCAAATAACTTAACAATTTCATATGGAACCACCCCTTTTCAGTTAGATAGTTTATAATTTATTGGATACATTGTTTTAAATTGCCAAACTAGTTAACTTCTATAACATTCAATATTAAATCGCTTTGTTTATTATTAGCAACAATATACAATAAGCTTTTTTTGAGATATTTGCAAGAAAATACGAAAATTCAGCCTAAAAACATTACCTCAATATCTTGTATCTCTATTTTTAATTCATAGTTTAGCATGGCTTAATAATTAATCTGAAATCTAGAAAACTTGGGGAAATTGTGTTATTATTTTTGTTTTGGTCTAGATATGTTATTTTTGGTTTCGGATCCAAATCTTAAACGAACAAAATTATTAAAAATTAACCAGAATAACCATAAAATATTCTCTCAGTTTCAGCAAAGCTTTAGGTTTTTAGGTTGCCCTTAAAAGCTCATAGTTTTCAAACATGGTAAAAAAAATCCTATTTTTTTTTAATCACTCTGGTTTGGCTTGGCATCCATTTCTAAGACACCCCGTATAAAATATATCGATTAATTTACAATTATTATTTTTTTATGTTTTTAGAGTTTAGTGCACCTGATGAAAAAGAAATCTTGTTTTTCAATACCTGAGACGAGGTACTATGTTAAACAGTTGATAGCCGGCACCAAATACATTCACAGCAATAATATCATACATAGGGATTTAAACCGGGAAATATGTTTTATCAGGTAAAAAAATAAACATCATAAAATGTATTCAAATATAAAAATATTGGCCTTTATTTGCAGAAAACATGGTAGTCAAAATTGGAGACTTTGGACTTGCTATGTCGCTGGATAAAATGTCCGAGCAATCGTAAGTTAATAAAAATGTGTTATAAGAATAATAATGGATGTCTTATAAAATGCAAATATTTTGTTTTCTATTATTTCCAGAGTTTTGTGCGGAACTCCTAATTATATTGCTCCAGAAGTTTTGAACAAATCCTCACAGTCGTTTCCGATTGACGTCTGGGCAATAGGTTGTACAATGTAAGAAATAGTTTGTATTTATTAATTTATATTCACACACTGAAAATCACAAAACATAATTAAACATTTGCAGATTGCGTAGAATATTTTTTCTCGTCATTTGAGCCAAAATATGGTCTGCAATTATCTTTTTGCCTTATTGTCATCTACCCTCAGCCTCACGAATACTTTATTTATGTTTTTGCCACATACATATAAATAAAATAAAAATGAGTAATTGATAATATTAATGCTAATAATGATTTTTGTTTGTTTTTAGTTATTGTTTAATGTTCGGAATACCCCCATACGAATCTGCAACCTTGGAATTGACGTACGAAAGAATCAAATCTAATAGCTGGGATAAATCTAAAGTTGCATATCGTAAGTATATAATTTTTACGAAGTTTAATTATTCAAGAATATGTGTACTAGAGGATTTTAGCAAAATTTAAATTATTTTCGGATATATAGCAATTTGACCACGATAATCCTCTTATGACTTTTTTGGTGTGATACCCTCGATTTCTCAACATTTACTGGACCGATTTAAATGATTTTTTTACATAGTATTCTCTATATTATTATCATCTGTATGAATCATTAAAAAAATTAAAAACTGCATTTGGCGGTCGAAAATCAGATACTTTGTAATTTAATCAACTGATCTGAATGGGTAACGACTTTCAAAAAAATTCAGTTTAAAAAAAAATTGTATTATATAATATAGTATTCTCTATATTATTATCATCTGTATGAATCATTAAAAAAATTAAAAACTGCATTTGGCGGTCGAAAATCAGATACTTTGTAATTTTAATCAACTGATCTGAATGGGTAACGACTTTCAAAAAAATTCAGTTTTAAAAAAAAATTGTTTTCACAAAATTTCTGATTTTCAAAAAATATTAGTATTTGCAAAAAAGTCAAAGACGCTCATCCCCAAATTCCCATTTCTGGTTTTATTAAAAAATTGGGAATATCAAAAAAAGTTGTAAAAATGATTGTAAGGTTTGAAAAATGAAGATTTTTGAATATTTTTACGTTTCAAAGGTTTCTGAACATTTTGGCATACCTTACAAAAAAATTATTTTTGCTATAATTTATTTTTATTAATCAAAACTTTAATGTCTTATTTACAAAATTGATAGGTACAAAAAAGTAATGATACAAAAAAATACAATAAATTGAATATAAAATGACCTTAGAAAAATTGATGTCTTTGTGTGTGTATGCGCGGATACAAATTCTTGTCGAAGATTTTGTGAACACAGATCAACCGATTTAAATGATTAAAAAAACATTCGATTCCTATTGATGGGGAGACGTGCTGTTAGTTTTTTGGCAAAAGTTGGTCCAGGCGTTTCGGAGATACGGAGCAAATAGTGCAGAGAATGTCGATCAAGTTTGTGGGAGAACGGAGTGTTCGATTTGAATGATTCAAAAAAGTTAATGAAGAAATGATTAAGTTTTTGCGAAGGCGGGTCCAGTGGTTTTGGAGATCCAGTAAAAAATGAAAAAAATGCCATTTGGCGGTCCAAAATCAGTTATTTTGAAATTCAACTGATCTGAATGGGTTTTAATCAACTTTCAAGAAAATATTAAATTACAGTACGGAAAACTCCAAGTTCCAGCAATTTGCCTTAAGTCCATACACCACTAGTTTATTTTTTTATTTGAAGGGTTAAAGTCAAGGGGTATCTTTTAAAAATATTAAATCGCGATGCACGAACTATCATCCATTTGTTTTAAGGCACAATGCCATGCACCACTAGTATAATCTGATTTTTGTAAAATATAATTTTTGTAAAATATAATTTTTGTAAAATATAATTTTTGTAAAATATAATTTTTATTCCAACTCTGTAGTTATTGCTCCTTACTGTTTTTTTTTAAATTTCAGATCCTGCTCTTCTTGATCTCTTAGATAGAGTTTTAGTTTTAGATCCAAACGAAAGACTGACTTTAGATGAAATAGAAAAACATATCTTTTTCGATGCTGTGTAAGTAAAAAATCCAAACCAAAACTTTCCTAATTTTATATGTTCATTTATCTTACTATATATTTATTTATCTTTTAGTAACAACGAACTGTTGCTGGAGCATATGCACTTGAATAATTCAATTGAAAACGATCAAGCAATTGTCAATACTCACAACAACAACATTAATATTAAAAATAATAATTATTCTAATGATAGCTATAATATTAAATTAATAAAAGATAACCTAAGTCATCGCAAAGAAGTCGAAGACAGTGATAGAATTTTGATCTCAAAACGTAGAACTAGTACAATTAAATATTTGCCGCCGCAGCAAAATACGGATCAGCCTAAGAAAGTGTCGACTATTAAGAAGATTGTTCAGAATATTTTTAGGAAACGGAAAGATATTAAAAGTTCGAGAAGAAAACAAACACCTCGAGGATAATAATATGCTTTCTGGAATGATCGGAGTGCACTGAATAATAGACATAAAAAAGTTTCTGGGAAAAGACAAGATGATGGTGTACCCAGGGAATTACAGCGACTTTGCCCAAAGACTATTAGTTTAAAAGATTATTGCAAGGCAAGTAATATTGGAACAAATTCCATGTTGTTGAAAGTACTTGAAGCCATTTGTGATGCTTATGCCTTTGACAAAGATTATAAAGGTGAGATAATTGTTTCATAGAACAAAATTTTTATATTTAAAATTTATTTCATATTCTGTTGTTTTGCAAAATTACAGGCAGCACCATTCCACAAATTCCGGAATACAATTTAGTGTTCGTAGCGAAATGGATAGATTATTCGAATAAATATGGGTTTGGATATCAATTGACAAATAACTCGAATGGAGTTTTATTCAATGATAGCTCGACATTTATCATGAGAAGTAACTGCAGGTAAATCATTAGTATCGTTTTATTTGGCATTTGTCAACATTAGAACTTTCATCGACATTTGCTCAAAAGCGCCTGAACCGATTTTAGAAATTTAAAAATTATTTGATGTATCTCGATGAGGATTATCGTTTCTCAGTTTTGTACGACGATCGGTCGAGCCTTTTCTTTGTAATTTGGAAAAAAGTGCTAAACTTTTCGTCCACTTAGCTTATACTACCGAATCGATTGTAAAAAATCAAATGTTCGAATGATATTAGTTCGGAATGATTTTGATTAGTTTTAGGTGAAAATCTACCAAGCCGTTTTCTTGAAATTAACTGTTGAAAAAAAAATTAAGTGTTTGTTCGTTTTCAAATATATGTAATAAATGCACTCGGAATACTTTTAATCTCTCATAAAAATAATTTATTTTTTATTGATTAAGTCGATTATTTACACATATTGGGAAGTTCATGTAACATGATTCAAGGCAAAATACCAATACCAACTAGTTGTATTAGTACTTGGTTGATTTTTGTCTATTTGTGAGATTTATTTAAAATGTAACGAAATCTAAATCATATTGGTAAAGTTTTACTAATTAAGCAATATTCATTGAATTCCTAAGCAACTTATCATAATTTGAATTATGTTGATTTCGCATCTTATAAAACTTCTACATATTTTTGCAGCAATTTTCAATATTTGGACGCCCATCAGAAATCCCACACGTTTCAAGTAAATGATCTTCCGAAATCACTAGAACAAAAATATTTCTATTTGAAATATTTCAAAGACTACATGGACGAGAAATTATCTGATGGTGCTGCAGGTATAAAATCACATCACATTATATTAATAACAATTGAACAAAGAAAAATTTAGCTTTTTTGTTCTGAAAAACTTATGAAGCATTTCATGTAGAAAACTATCATTTTTGAGTTGAGCAAATTAAAAAATTGTAAATTTAAACTTACAATTTGAACGACAAAGAAAACATTATTTTTTTAAAAAAAATATCTCTTGCACTTAAAATTATATATATTATCTGTTAATAATTTAATATATTTCATATTAGTATGTTAAGTTCAATTATGTTATAAATTATTTTTAGTGCGTAATGAGAATGCCCTTTCATGTATGGATAATTATGAAAACCCTATAGTAAAACGATGGAATAGAACTGCTACCGAAATCTTAATGGAATTATCAGATGGTACTTTCCAGGTAAGTGAAAATCATATCATATTGTATTTAAATTGAATTTATGAACAAATTGGGATGGTATCACTAAAATGATATACGGTAATACCCTATTTTTTTCTTTTTTGTTCTATCTAATGTAGTCTGTGTCCAAAATTTTGATCATTTTCAATATATCGGATAAATAATTTTGTCATAGTTGTCACAGATTCATAACGACATTGAAGGTTTTACTATAAATTTTTTTATTTTGTTTTTGCTTAGTAAATTGTTTCAGCAGCACATGCAAAAATTTTCAATTTCGATTTTTAGACGATTACAATAACTAACCCCACGGGAAGTTATTAATGTGAAAAAAATACTTGACTCTAAATTAAATGACTCTTGTCGATACACAGGTTTATTAAATCATTTATAATAGATGATAATATATTAATAAGTAGTAAGATAATTTTATCTTAGTAATTCCTATTTTAGGCGAATTTCGCCGAGGACCACACAAAGGTCGTGCTGAGTTTTCGTGACTCACTAATTCCTGTTCCCAAAAATCACTCTGTTCACGAATGGGCCAACGGAATAGTTGTCACATTTATAAATTCCAATAGAGAAATGTGTCATTATAAGGCGTCCAATTTGCTGCATTTTAGACCTGGAAAATTGCTGATGACGAGGCTGAAATATTTGCGATGCGCGATTGTGGATTTTGCTAAACTAGATTAAATTCTTATGAGGACACAGCTTATAAGGTCAGACCTTGGTAATTGACATAGGATTTATAAAAAAACGTCTGGTAATTGACACACGATTTGAAAAAAAAGGTCTATTATTTGACTTTTTTTTTAAAAAAAGGCTGGTAATTGAGATACGATTTGTAAAAAAAAATTGTCTGGTGATTGACACCAGATTTATAAAAAAATATCTGGTAATTGAGATACGATTTAAAAAAAAAATTGTCTGCTGATTAAAAATAGATTAACATTTTTTATTTGAGATTTTTTTAAAAGTGCTACAATTACTTTTTTATATTTATTTTGAATATATTTCTATATTTTCCATTATTGACAAATGAGGATTTCTACTTGTTCTTTATTACAATTTTTTCACATTTGACCAAAAAACCTTCGAAGTTAAACAGAATTTGCAATTCCTTATTTAAATCTCACATCCACATAATTTTTTTTTAGATTCAAATTTTTGATGAAAATTTTTTGTTTTGTGTCCATTTTCAGAAGACAATTTTATTGAAAAGATTGAATCTTATATAATATATTATATATAAAAATGATATAAAAATGTAAGAAATTGTCTGCTAATAATGCACAAAATGCAAAAAAATCTAAACAATAATTGAGAATGTTTTCAAATAGGGTTGCAATTCCTGTGTTAAAAAATTATATTAGTGATACATTTTTATATCTTTTTGGAATAATTATGCTATTATTTTTCAATATTTTTACAAGTAGATTTCTGCTTATTCTTAATTGCAATTTTTTACATATTTGAACAAAAAAGTCCTTCAAAGTCAAACAGAATTCGAAATTTCTTATTCACTTGCATCAAAATAATTTTTTTTAGATTCAAATTACTTCTGAGGATTTTTTGCTTTTGGTTCATTTTCACCAGAAAATTCTTTCTTTATTTGAATGACATTAAACTCAAATTTTCGTGGAAATTTTATTGAAAATATAGAAAAATATATAATAAATATATTATAAGCACAAAGCTAGTAATTGTCTGCTAAATGCAAAAAATTAGATTTTTTATTTGGGAATGTTTTCAAATAAAGCTGCAATTACTTAGATTTTCCAAAATTCTCATTTTTTGCAATGAAGATTTTTGTGATCATTAATTATTTAAAAATATTCAAAAGTAAAATCAGGCACCACTCATCATTTTATAATTTTATCAAAAGAATTATTTTAGATACAAATTCTTTCAGCAGACAATTCTTTCTTCATATCGATAATATTATACTCAAATTTTTGAGACAATTTTGTTAAAAAAATCAAATCAAATATGTGTCTTTTACATATTACAAAATAATAACTATCAAAATATATTTATTATCAAGGTCTTATCTTAAGCTGGTCTAAAAGAATTTAATTCTAGAAGTTATAAAATATTATATTTCTAATTTTAGAAATATCAATGGCAATCTTTGAATTTTGCCAAATGCATATCATTATATTAATGATAAAATTATTCTACAAATTTACCAATTACTTACTTGCAGATAATGCAAAAAGTAAATGTATTATTGAATTTTTTATTAATTTAAAAACAACTTAAAACTTGTCTAAAAGTTGTTTTGTAGTAATTCATACCTAGTTTTTTTTATATTGGTAAATTTGTAATCTCATGATGATTTTGTAAGATGAACTATTTTTGTGTTTAAATCATATAAATAGTTTTATATATTTTCAAATATGTTGTTTTTGGATAAATATGGAATTGTTTTTCTAATTGATTTAATAAGACTGATAAGAATTTTTATTTAGTAGAAGCAATGTTTTATTTACTCAAAACATAATAGATTCAAATTAATCAGTCCGATATGAATTAAAATTTAGATTTGTAAGATTAAACATTATAGTCATTTTTTCAAATATTTTGAATAAATTGTGTAATTTTCTGGCATATTCAAAAATTAACTAAAACTTTATATTCACAACTTAGCAAAAATGCAATAAAATTTCTTCAAGTGTGATTCTATTATTACTATAAAGTATAAATTTACTTTTTGTATATGAAACTTATTAAAATGTTACGTTACTACTATGTAACAATTGCGTTGTAATTAGGTTGCAGTTACGTTGGAACTACGTTACGTTAATTACGTTATAATTATATTAATAGCTGAATACATAGTGATGATTAGATTAAGTAATTGTAATAGCTAATTAACTAGTTGCATGTTTGAAAAACATGAATGAAATTCATTAAACATTTTTTTGATACTCTGTTAATCGACATGTATTTATTATAGCTTATATTAGTCATTTTCATTGAATTTTAAGAATAGCCTTAAGATTTGTTCAGAATTGTAGCTCAGTCATTCGTAAATGATAACAGTTGTCTTTTTTAATAATTTAGATACTAAACAAAAGCTAAAAACATATCCCTAAATCGTACTAAACATTTAAGAAAATTGTTGTGTCATAAATAAAATTTAAATTTTATTAAATAAAATTCTTAATGCAATTGCATTATAATTTGTTACCTAAAATAAATTTGAATAGATGATATAGTGAATTAGCTGCTTGTCTTGAAACAAAGTAGAGCAATACAAAAACATTTTGTATTAAAATATTTACTTCGTATGTTTTGGAATTTTATTAGAATTTAGTTACATATGAAATGAAATGTAAGGTGATATATTTACAAATTTCGATTAAGCACAAATAATAATTGTGTTGATATGAATTTAAATAAAACTATAAAAGTATATTTATATATATAGAAATATCAAAGTTTGTTATTGTTGATACATTATGATATATTAATTTGATTTATGATAGCATTATAGTTAAAGAAATGAATATGAAATGTGCGTACACTTTAGTTAATTCTTATAGTTTCCAATATTCTCATTTGTACCAATAAATTATTTTTATATCTCAAAATGTTCTTTATTTGTAAAAAAAATTCCGGTCCGTCAAATAACTTTTTTTTCATTTATATTTCAATGGCCAGTCGAGACAGTCATTTGAATGGAATTATTTTTCTTTAAAACAAGAAGGATTGTACTTTCAGATAAAAAAATGAGTAGTTTTTATATAGCATTTTCAAAAAACAAGTTATTTGGCAGGACCATTTATTAAAGTTTGCAATTTTTGATACAATATTTTATCAACTAAACAATTTCGTTAAAATTCAGATGGAAAAATGGATATCCAATTACAAGGTAAATTAATATATTTTTACTTTAATTTATTTACTGTTCAAAATATTAATTCTTAATACTATTTAATAATTTCAGGAAGAATTTTGGCTGCAAAAATAATAATATATCATCAACTTGATACTTTCTTTGCTTTAAAATTTAGCTGGGGAAGTAGATATCTATAAGGATAGGTAAGTTAAATATATTTTGACTTTATTAAAAAATACAAAATATTAATGTGTAATACTATTTAATTATTTCAGGAGATATTTTGGTTGCAAAAATATTATTTCATCTTTTTTGTGTCCTAAAATTCAGATGGAAAAGTGGATATCCTATTACATGGTAAGTTAACATATTTTGACCTTAATTTATAATATAATATTAATTTCAAAATAATAATTTTTAATAATATTTAAAAATTTCAGGAAGTTTTCTGGCATGCGAAGGAATTTCTGGTGTAAAAATTACTTTTCCATTCGAGATAAGTGATACGTTTCGAAATGTGAGTTTTTTAATTTTTTATCGTTTTTATGCAATATTAATTTTTAATATTTTTATGCAATATTGTTTTTTTAAATATTGACTCTATTTTATTCATGAAGTCAATAACGAACAGAAATAGTAAAAGTGTACAAATTTTATTTTTTCGAAGAAGTTTTTTAAACAAAATTCTAATTTGCTACAAATTTCATGTTTTCTGTACGTTTAAAGTCATTCTAAATCGTTTAACACCAAATTTAGCACGTTAATCGCAATGTGAGAAGTTCTACATGAGACGTGTCAGGCATACATGTCTGACATACGCAATTTCTTAGGAGAAAATAGTTAAAAAAAAATAATAATAAATAAATAAAAAAATAGTTTTAATATAGGGCCATGTCAGTCATGTATGTGTGACACAAAAAAATGTTTTTCCAGGAATTTTAGCAAAACATTTTTTTTATACGTCAAGTTTCTTTGATGATTGATTTTTAAATAAATTATCTATTAAATTTTTTTTTTCTGATATTATCGTGGCGATTAACGTGTTAAAACGGATAGAATTGCATGATAGATGCATGTAACTGTGCAAGCCAAAATTTTGCTTTTCGTTGTTTTCTCAAAAACGGCTAAAATGATTTTGAAAATTTCTCAAAAACACCTGAAATTACATACTAAAATATTGTAGGTCTACGTTTGATTTATAAAAAAATATCATAGTTTTATTATTTCTATGAGAGCTTAGTGAGTCCAATTAGACCTGCCATAAGGCAAAATGCCATTTACAACTAGTTTTTATTCTCGTTTTTTTATTAAACTTTATGAATATTATTCAGATTCAGACTATTTGCTTGAAAGCTAATAATGGAATGAATTACTTCTATTTTAATTAAACGCAGAAAAAATGAATTTTGATTGCACAATCTGATTATTTGATCTAAAAATCTGCATGCGATATTATTCAGCGATGTTAAGCCGAAGCGATTTATTAATGTTTATATTTGAATTAACATATAATATCTTGCACGATATAATGCAACTTGTCATTTCATTAATTATCAAGTTGAGTAAATATGCGTTTCTAGTAAAACTGAAAATATTATAATTATTTGAAAATATAAATCGTCAGTCGAATATAATAAAATAAGAATGCTAAATAATATAATATAAATATATGAATAATTTCAGATGATTGGGTTTTTTTTGCTTCAAAGTTACAAAGAAAATGATAATACTCGTTATAAAAGTGCGTTGAAACTAGCAACATTCTTTATAATTACAAAAGCTGCATAATGATCTCAATTATTAGAGAACCGTCAGATTTTTTTTTGTAATTTTTAAGAAATTAAATCTTTAGTGTGTTAAACTAGAAAGAATTATTTTAATTATAAAAAAGACGTTTTTATTGAATAATATATAGTTTGTAAATCGATTTGTATAGAAAATATCACAACCTCTCAAGATAATATGGTGTTTACATAATAATGTACTAAAACCTGAAATCGGTTATAGATTTTTTGAAAAGCTATATATATAAGTATATAAATTATAAGGTTCATAATTTATATACAAAATTTTCAACGACGTTAACGTAAAGAACTGCCAAAACCAATGAATTTTTAATAAAGGCTCATTTTCATAATTATTGTTCAGTATCATATAATTGACTTATAAATTCAAGATGAGAGTTCAGGAATAAAGAGATTCTAACAATAAGATTAGTTCAGAAATTCAGAAATAGATAGACAATTGTAAAATTTAATACAAAAGTACTTTTGAGATTATAAGAAATTAATCAATGTAATTAGAAACTCTTACACTTATATCAAAAAAAAAAAATAATATGCTTTAAAATTAAAGTAACTTAATTTGAGGTTTTCTTAACAAAACATTACTGAACTGCCATAATTTACATGGTCGATTTGAAATTTCTTTTTTTGGACACAACTAAAAAACATATTTATGCTTTTTTAGTTGAGGATTATTCAAATTGCAGTCATTAGTGTTATAATTATAAGCTGTTATTTTAGAAAAGAAATTTGCAATTAAGTATATAATTATTTGCATATTGTGAATAATAAAATAAACTGGGTGTAAGTGGTATTTTCCAGAAAAAATTCGTTATGTATAAATAATTGACTCAATCAATAACTTATTTTGGAGATCGAGATTTTTGTAGAAAAAGAAAATTATATAGAGTTAAGGGTATGATAGTAAGGGTATAATAAATTATTACCGAGACCTTACTCGCAGAGTGACAATTAAATCTAATCGTAATGCAATTCATATATTCCACAATATGATAATGATAACGAAGTGCTTATTTATAAGTAGTTTTTCTATAGAAAAAATATCACTGCTAATATTAGAACGTTAGAATATTTTGAATACAGTGATTCTCAACAATGAAACACCACAAACACCATATATTTTACATTCTTAAAGTTTTAGCTGGAATAAGCTGTACCAGTAGGATGAAATAATGTTCAAAATTTGCATTAAAATTATAAATGCTATTATAAATTTAAATATCTGGGGATAAAGATATGAGATGTTATTAATTTTTCCCCTAGTCATTATGCTGAATATTGTAAATAATACTTGTTATTTAGGAAAATTTTGTTTTTACCAGAAAATCTGATTTCAATATTTTGTTTTCACGATGTTTCATGTATTCTAGAAAGCTGAACTCTCAACATGAACTTACCTATTGAAATAATAAAATCAGGCGTTCCTCAAGACAATGTTCTCGGCCCAATTTTGTTTTTAATTTTTACAGCTGACATTCCCACCTCATTTGCTGATGATATCTCTGCATTCTTTCAAAACATGAAAATCCCACAACTGCTTCAGAGAAACTTCAACGTCACTTAACATCATTAGAAAAATGGTACAAACTGTGGAGGCTAGAGTTAGCTGGAAGAAGTTTCACAATATAATATTTGACTAACATTTTTCCTATTGTTTTGTGGATTTAGTGAAATTGATGCAGATTTTCAAAACTAATTAGTTCACGAAAACTGTCGAGTAGATCTTGAGCTTAAAATTCAAAGAATGTTTCACTATGTCTTGGGACAGCCTGATATCAAAAAGAAATGACATCGGTTTTTGCTTGAACATTTCGACAGAGCGGCGTTCATCAATCATGAGATGCTTTATGGGAGAGGAGGGATGACAAAAAAATCACGAAATAGGGTATCACGTGCATTAATCTGTTACCCGGATTTAAAATTTCAAATTTAAAAATTTGCTCCAATGCAGGGTTAAGTTGTTATAGAGGGTGGTTTTCAAAATTAAGTTCTATTAAAAATCAAACTTTGTTGTGTTAATAAATAATTAATATTTTTGAATAAAATGTTGAGAAACTGCATCGCATTAATATTGCACTTGAACTGCACTGTTTTAATGAAGTTCCCTTCGACAAATGGAGTTCCCATAATATCATTCTGTCAGCGCACGTCAAACCGTGCAGAGCGCTGAATTAATTTAATAAAAAACCACAAACCACATGAAATATATATTTAATTTGCTAAATTATGCTTAATTTGTGATTATAAAAAATCGAAAACAAAATTAAAAACATTATATAAAAAATAATCAAAACATTAGATTATAAGAAGTATTGTATCAACTAATGATTTTGTGTGAGTGATCAATAAAAAGTGAAAATGAATAATTTGGCTTTTGAATATGATCGGGATGGTGACCTGGAAAATGGTAAATTAGTTTTGGGATAATTATTTAGAAAAAATAGACTTCATAAATTTTCAATTGTGAGGTTTTTGTGTTAATATTATTTTTTAAGTAATTGTTTCTTCGAACTTTGTGTTAAAGAATTAAATTTATTAATTAATACCAATGATTTGGTTGGTTTGGTAAGGGTATTGTAATGCTATGGATCGATTTTAATCAGTTTTAAAATTTAAAATATATTAATTATAATCATTTTTATTTAGCTGGTTTATCAAGGGTTTGATTTATCCTTTGGATCAATTTCAACAAATTTTTAAATTGATACATTAATTTATAACGTTATTATTTAGTTAGTCTTTCAATGTGGAATTACTTATCCTTATGGATCAATTTTAACCACAAGAACTGAAATATTTCAACTCTTCATATTTGATTCCAATAAAATTTTTATAATTTAGTACAATATGGTAATAAAAATTATCAACAATTTTAACAATGTAATTTATTTTTTTAGTTTATGTTTAAATTTTTAGTATTTTATTTATTATTTCTGTTTATATCCTCAAGTATTTTGATATATGTAGTAACTAGGTGTAAGTGGAATTTTGGATTAAGGCAGCTGCATGAAGTTATTAATTGATAAAAATTTATATTTAGCTATTTGAATAAAATTTTTACCTATTTTATTTAAAATTGATGTTTTTCAAATACTTTTCATATCTATAATTGTATTAGATATATTCAGTTTATTTATACTAAATGTATGTATATCCCATTGGGTTTATTTATGCCCTAAGAAAGACTGATTATTCCAAACTTTAATGAATTTTTATATTAAACCAATTAAAAGTATTTAATTTTTTTTTCTAAACTAATAATAAAAATACAGTTTATCTTTTTTCCAGAATTTCAAAAACCGAATAAAATTCATACCTTTAGACCTGAATATCTTTTTAAGTACAGTGATATTTTATATTTATTATAGTAAACTGATTCACAAATAATTGTCTAAATATATTAACAAATAAATTTTCTATTTTAGGAAAGAGGAAGGACATTGAAGTTACTCAATCAGCTACTTTTGAGGAGGCTGTTGCAGTTGCAGGTAAAAACTATTTTTTATTCTAAAGTCTATTTTTTTCAAATTTATACAAGAAAATATTTTGACCACATTATTAAATAATTATATAAATGAAAAAAAAAACTAAAAAACATCGATTAAAAGCATTTCTCGATGTCGCATCGTACCCCCATATATAGAGTCTATTATCTATTTTCTGAATTTTTAGAAAATGCTTTTCAAAATTATACATTTTGTATATTTTATAATACACATAATTTAATCCCTCGATAGTCATAATTCTATTATCATGCAACACGTGTCTTTATATATCAATCTATATAGATGATATGTAAATCAAGTATTATACATACAAATATCAATATACGTACTAAAATATTTTTAAACTAATCACTGGATTGATAAAAATAAAGTTAGAATTAGTATTCATCATGCAATGTTATTGAAAACAATTCTTCAAATTTGATTAATTAATTTTACTAAAATTGTTAAGATTAATTTTAATGAATACAGTGAATCAAATAAATTCAATTAGATTTAACTAAAATTTATGCACATTAATGAATTATTTATATTTCTTACATTGTTAGTTGTGTTATGGTACTTTTCTTTATATGTTAATTGAGAAATACGCATACGTCTTTTTACTTCTTCACTTTTTACGGAAAATATTTTAAGAATATATTATTGGTTATAACTTTTAGTATTTTTAAAATTGTATAAACGTGTAAATAGTTTTTTTAGAATCTGTCAACCGTTTTGTGTAAAAATTTATTTTAGATTTTATTTTATTCTGTACCAAATGGTGAACTAACAAAGGTGCAGAGTTAATTTATCTAAGATTAATCTGTTAAAGACTAAATCAAAGAGATCATAATATTAGGATTTGAGTTTTCTTTGGAAAAGAACGTGGGCTAACAATCCCTAGTCGCGACCAATAACCTCGACTAACCTTGTATCAAGCAGCATGACACCAGAATTTTTCTCGATATTATGTAGATCTCAAGGAAAAATTGTTCTGAATAGCTCTGAATCAAACCAAAAAACAGAAAATATTTTTTCATATTTTATTTTGATTAAACTTCCGATAATTCTGTAAAATAATTGATTTTTTTTTAGGTACAGGCAAATTCCACATCTTCATACTATTTACTACCGGTTTTTGCATGGCTGGTGTCATCACAGAATCCTTAGGAATGAGTTTTGTTTTACCATCAGCCGATTGTGATTTAAATATGACTCTAAATGAAAAAGGACTTTTGTCAGCTAGTGCATTTTTAGGTAAGATAAAATACATAGCCAAAACAAATAATAATAATAATTAATATCCAAAGTATTGTAAATTGTTGAGTCTGGATCTGAAGAGCCAATTGTGCCAACGAATTTTTTTACTAATACTTTTTTTCATTAAAGTTTTATATATGATCAAAGTAGGATTCTGATAAATCTTCCCATAATTTTGATCAATTACATGATTTTCTCTAAAAAAAATCAGCACTTGCAATCTGTGTCTTAAAATTTACACTTAGCCATTTTTTCTTTATAACAATGCTCTAACTAGGATTTTTTTATATAACTTCTTAATTAATTGATTAATTACATTATTTTCTCTAATAGATTATAACAATAATAAAATAAAATTTTGAATCTGCATCTTATGCCAACAAATTTACTACTAAATTCTTTCCCTATTAAAATTTTATATAAGCTCAAACTAAAATTTGATAAATCTTATCTTATCAATTAATTTTCTGTAATAGTGTGTATTAAAAAAATGGCTTACTTGTACTTATTTAGACCATTTTAGCACTATATAAATAAGTAAGTGGTTGAACAAAAAAAATTTTTTTTCTTTCTTTTCTTTTTTTCTTCAATATTATGAAACAAAATGATGAAAAATTTCCATAAGGGGGAAAATATTTAATTTGAATATAAAAGATATGAAATTTATTTATTCATTAGTAATCATGAAAAAATATATATTCAACTGCTATAATTGCAATTTATTTAAACACTCATATCTCGGCTTAAATTTAAATCAATTTCAACTATTTGCACATGTTCATGATGAGCAAGTAAGTTCTATTTGATAAGAAAATGAAATTGCACTTGAACTTCTTATTTCTATTCATGTGATAATAGTTTTCACCATAAGAGTCAGTTAAAATTCGAAAGAAAAATCTGTTTGAAAGATTAAATTACTATTTTATTCTCATTTTTGGCACACAAATTATTTATCCAATTTTGATTTTTGTCCAACTAAGTCATCGGCTTTTAATAAACATATAATGTACATCTGCAATTTTTTAAAACAATTTGCAATTGTGAAAAAAATTAAATTGACAATTTTTTTGGGCGAAAATAGAAAGGTATAGAAATTAGAGTAACATTTTTCGTAAAGAGCTTTGAATTCGGATAACTTTATCAAGACTAGTGGTGTATGGCATTCTGCCTTAAGGCAAATTGCTGGAACTGCCTGTATCGTAACGAAATGTTCGAGAAATATTAAATGTAACAATGTCTAATATTTATAAAAGTTATATAAACTGAATTACAAATTAAAAATTATTTATTTAAAATATATAAGTGAGCCCTAGAACTTTAGCCAGAATTAAAAAAAATTGGAAAAAAAATTAGGATTTTTTTTAATATTATGAGGCGTTGGAACTATTTTCAATTTACTGTTTTGAATTTAATAATCTAATAATATATGAGTCGTTATAACTAGAAGTTTCAATTGTTTTTATCCTGTTTGTGAAATTTTCCATGCACATTTATTTAAAATATCTTAATGGAGATAATATATGTATATTATACTCAATATTGAAAACAAACAATTGATATATGATATATTCTGAAGTGCATTATGTGACTCTTTAATCGAGATCAATTAATTTGATGTTCTCACTTAATATTTCAAGGGACTTACGTCACCAAATTAATCATAGTAATAATAATCAATTAATTATAGGTTACATTTGGTAAAAACTAAATAAAATGGATTCAAACTAATGGTTTATAGCATCCTGCCTTAAGGCAAATTGCTGGAACTTCCCGTGTCTTAATGAAATATTCGAGGAATATTAAATGTTTTTAAATTACATAATTTAACTTTTATTATTCTCATTTAATAAAAAGTAAATAAAGAAAACTTAATCAATGCATTTGAAATGAAGAACATTGTTTAACATTTCTAATAATAAGTATCATATAAACTGAATGGCAAAGTTAAAATTATTTTTTTGAAGTATATAAGTGATATATAAAACTTTAGCTGGAATTAGAATAAAAATCCGAGTTATTTTTCGATATTTAAAAAATATTTTTTTTGAAAATTAAAAAATCTTCAAAAGCAACCCGAAACACAAACAGAAAGTTTTTTAAATCATTCAAATCGGATGCTTAGTTTACTAAAAAAACTGCCATTTTTGCATATTTTGCTCTGTATCTTCGAAATGGCTGGACCTGTGTTTGCCAAAATCTAAAGTACAAGATATTATAATTATATAATCTTTCTAATATGTTCCTATATTAGTCGTAGTTCACTTTTATCAATGGAGCATAATAAATTACATCTAATTTTATATTATAAATCACATTTGCGTTTGCAGTAATTAAATATTTGCAAACAGTAATTCTTGTGATGATATCGGAATTGTTTACCAGTTTGCTTCTAATTTGATAACTATGCAAATTTATGCACTTGTTATTATGCAAGGAAACAAAAAATGACGTCCAAATAATTGACTTCTTTATTGTTCGAAAATATCTGTAATCTCTAATTACATTTTTCCAATTTAGAAAACTGGAAACAAATTATTCAAATTGTAACGGAATAACAAGTTGTAGTGATAAAAATGGAAATGGGAAATGAAATTTTTGGAAAAACACTGAAGACCAAAAGAAATTAACTAAAGCCAAAAAATTTCTTCAGTCATTTACTATCCTTTAGATTTATCTCAAATTATTACCTTTTCCAGGTCTGGTCCTAAGTGCCCATATGTGGGGCTTTTTAGCTGATACCAGAGGCAGAAAATTTGTCATGAGGTTGTCTCTGAGTATTGCCCTGGTTTGTTCCTGGATATCATCACTTTCTCACCAGGCTTGGCTGCTGACTTTGATGAGATTCTTGACTGGATTTTTGTAAGTAATTTGAAAAAAATACTAACAAGGAAACCTTCAGGTTTACTTTTGTGGGATTTTGATGAAACTTTGCATGGTGATAGAGTAGATAGTCAAAAGGAATGGTTTAAAATATTATAGGCCTACGAGAAGTGATAAAAATTAGAAAAATTAATTAAAGTTGCGAATGAAAATTATAATGGGGGTGTTTTATGACGAGGGTGTAAAATAATATTTATAATTATTTATGTCGTCTTATGAATAAAAAATTAACCTACGTGAATGAAATATTTGAAATTTTGTAACTGTGTTAATTAGTAATTAAAAATTCTGTTAAAACAATTTATAATTAAATTTTTAATAATTTTCAATATTTAAAGGAGCAATATTATAATTATAAAGTAATAAATGAAATAAATAAATAAATAAGATATAAATTAATTATAACTAATAAGTATAATACCTAAACATGCAAATTTATTAATACTAAAATATGAAAAGAATGTAAATTTCGATGAAAATGTTTTTTTTTCGATGTTTTCATACTTTGTTTATGATGAAATTTGTTTTTACGAATATTATATAAATTTACAAAACAAATTATATATTCATTTTATTATTTATTTATTTATTCATAAGCAAGTCATAATCAACAATAAAAAATATTATTATGTATATGACAGTAGTAGAGTAAGTATAACATTTATATAAGTTATTTAAACTGTTTGAATTTAACAATAATAATAAATTTAAATATATTTTTATTCATTCAGATACAAATGTTTCCGTTCAAAAATCGTGTTAGTAAAAATGTGTGAAAATACTATTTCAAGAATGTTTCCATTCTAAAAATATATGTATGTAATGTAAATAAACAAAAATTGTTTTTTAACAAAATTGCGTATAAAATATATGTAAAATTTCTGATTTATAAATAAATTAAAACCGTATTACCCAATGTCAAATAATATATATTATATAAGGTAAATTAACAGATAAATCCAACGCGTTTTAATTTTTGGAGTAAATTCTCCCAGATCAAAAATTTATTTATTTTGTGTTCTATGATATTATATAATGGAATCATATTTAATAGTGTGCAAAAATTTGAAATAATAAAAAAAACTTATATAAAATAAAATATATAATAAAATAAATAAATGATATAAAATATAAATAAAATACTAATTAAAAAATGTATAAAATATTATACTTATACAAATTTGTTTATTGCTACTTGCGCAATTTTTTATGATGCAATAAATAATTAAAAATTATATTTTAATTCTTAAACCTATAAATAATAAAAATTAAAATTAATGTGAATATTTATGATAAGTGATATTTTTGTTGGATTTTGTGAGCATTTTATTCGAGATCTCTTAAATCCCTTAAATCCCTTAAATCCACAAAATTTATTAAAATAGTAGTTCATGATTATTTGAATTAAGAGGAAAAAAACTTATTTATCATATGCATGTTTTTGTTACAATTTGTTTTTGTTAATCAAAATTGAAAATATCTTATTAGACAAAATGGTGTGATAAAGTAATATAAAAAATTTATATAAAACAAAAAATATTAGTTATAATATAAAAATATTAGTTTATTATTATTTAAATTTATAGGAAAAACGTATTTATCACATGCATTTTGTTACAAATTATTTTTGTTAATGAGAATTGGAAAATCTTATTAGATAAAATGGTGTGATAAAGAAAGTTATATAAAAATATTTCATTAAGTGTATATAAAGCAAAAAAAGACTCAAAAAACATTAGTATATTAATGAAGTTTATACGAAATCAATAATAAAAATAAAATTTACCATAAGAATGTGAAATTATTTATTTCTTATAAAAATCGTATCAGCAATCGCAATTGGAGTCTTATAATCCAATTTGACAATGTTCAACGTTTTTTAGTATTTTCTAAAAATATTTTCTATTTTGTTATACATTAAATTAATATAAATATATTTTTATCTATAATGTGTCATTTTTTAGGGTTTCTGGAGCAAGTTCAACAGCCTATGCATATTTAGGAGAATTTCATGGAGATAAAACAAGAGCCAGGGCAATCAGTTGGGGAGCTTCTTTTATTTCTATGGGAATGGTATTTTTGCCAGGTAAAACTAGCTGTAAGTGGAATTCTGTCTTAAGGCAATTAAGGCATCGTGCCTTAAGGCAAATTGCTGGAACTTCCCGTACCAGAAATTATTTTTTTAAAAACGATTAACATTTTTGAAAAAATTTACTTCAAAAAATAAGATTTTTGACAAACAATTAGACAAAAAATTACTTTTTTTTGAAAAAAAAATTTTTTTTAATTTTTTTTTTTGAAAAAAAAATGTTTCTTTATTTTGACATATTTTGAAAGATCTAAACTTTTTTTCAAAGCAATCGTACTGCTTTAACTAACTGCATAAAGACGAAATATCAAACCGCGTAAGCTCCGCGTCGACGTCTAACGCGTAAACATTGGTACGGAACCCATAGGAATGTAAACCAAAATTATACTTATTGTTAAAATCTCTATAAATATCTGATAATTTGATGTGATGCATGTCTAATGATCATTTTGACCGCCAAATGGCATTTTTTTTTACTTTTTTCATTAGATCTCCGAAACCGCTAGACCTGCCTTTATGAAAATTTGATCGGTATTTCACCTTGTCAATACAAGTAAAATGTTTTTTGAATATTAAAATCGGACGCTCCGTTCTCTTAAAAACTGAGTTACCGTTTTCGGCACTTTTTGCCCGTATCTTCGGAACGGCTAGACCTGACTTCGCCAAAACTAATCAGCACGTCTCCTTACCAATACGAATCGAATGTTTTTTTGAATTATTCAAATCGGTTGATCGGTGTTCACGAAATCGTCGACGAAAATTTGTATCCTCACATACATACACACACGCACACACACACACCACACACACACCACACACACACACACACACATACATCCATTTTTTCTAAGGTATGCCAAAATATTCAGAACCTTTGAAACGTCGAGAAATGCAAAAATTTTCATTATCGATTTTTTTGCGATTACTATAACTTACCCTACGGGAAGTTAATAATATCCAATTCGCCAGATTTGAAATTAAATTGTTTTTCTTTGTATATATGAAAATATAAATAAATTGCAAATGATATGATTTATTCATATATACTCATTTACTTGCTGAAATACTCCCAACTGAATTTAAAGTCAAAACATATAGAGTCGATGAAGACAACTTGAATGAAGTATCTAAATGCAATTAATTATTTATTATTTTTATAACTATTAGTAATATTTTTGTAATTTTTTCGTTTATCTATCTTACATCGATTGACTGATTCAATGAATTCACAATTCCAATTTTTTTCAGCAATTGCTTGGGGAATAATTCCCCTCAACTTCAGATATCCCATACCAGGTTTGGCATAGACTGGACGGCCTGGAGGTTGTACGTCCTGATCTGCTCGCTTCCTAATCTTTTGGGCCTGATTATGATTATAACATTTCCAGAAAA